GTTTAAACTGCTTCAGACATCAATAAAGGCATCACAACATGACAAAACGTTCTTGAGCTCAGATTAGAAATGAAAACATCTGAGCATGATGAGAAACACAAGCATCACTCACTGAGGCTTTGCACACCGAGTCTGCATGGAACCTGCTGAAGTTGTTTTTGTTGTAGACGGGCAGTCCCTTCAAGAAATCTCTCTGTATACACAATAGAAAAATAAGACGATAAACACTTAAGTGTAACTACAGCTGCGACACACATACACTACCAGATGTAAAACACACTCAGGCAGGTTGCACAAACAACTCCTGCCCTTCACATTTATCAAGGTGACGTATTTGTAACGTGACAGACTATTTACAGCACGTCGCACTTGCTACAACAAGCAATTCGACGCAATAGCAACTTAAACAGTTCAGGAATGAAGTATCTATGAACCAACCTTCTCCATTTCTGCCCGGGTCGTGCTCTTCGTCTCTTATTGAGCAAAGCACGGTGAGGGTGAAAACCAGCAAATGCTACTGCTTTAGCTAGCTAGCTACTAAGCCTTGTTTTTGTCGAAGCCAAGATACCGAACTGTTTACCCGTTCAACGGCGCCTGCTACAAAACATAAACTACGTTTGATATGATTGCATCGCGTCACTTCAGTCAGGTAGAAAACTACCACTCGTGTAACTACAAAAACGCCGAGTTTTAGGGTCTTTTTGGCCGCCAACTTGCTACTATTTTAAAACTCCATATTTGTTGTTCGTCTCTTATGGGCGGCTATCTTCTAATACCCAGTCTATCTCATTGGCTGAGCAGTGACAGGTCTGGGAAAAGAGAGAAAGAGCAAGAAGCCGATTGGCCAGAAAGTCATGACGTAGAAGACAAATTCCCCAATACGACGCAGGTTATGGACGAGGGTGCTCATAAAAACAACACTACTTTCTCCACTATTCCTCCCGCACGTACACCGTTTATCAGCTTCTGGGGATCTGCACACAGAGGGAGGGAGTGTTAAAAACGCAGATTATACAGCAGCATAAAACAAGCTATAATAATAATAACATTAATTTAGTGATCGGACTGATTCCTGTCGTGTATATTCAGTTAAAATGAATTACAATAATGGTTTAAGAATATTGCAAGGGTGTTAAACTGTAAATGTTCAGCCCCCCCACCCCCCCCCCCCCCCCCCAAAAAAAAACAAGACAAAGCCTACCTTTAAACTCATATTTGAAGAGCTACAACACAATTTAATTGATTTAAAACATTTAAACATTTGAATTCGTTTCAGTTTTCTTTTAAATAGCACTAATTCACAATAATAGTCGCCTCAATATGTTTTATATTAGAATATTAGAAAGAAACCCTAACAATCAGATATCCCCCTAAGAGCAAGCACTTCATGGAAGAACTCTTTTTTACAGGAAGAAACCTCTGACAGAACCAGGTTCAGGAAGGGCCAGCCATCTGCCAAGACCAGTTAAGTGTAAGTGGAAAGAGAAGAAAGCAGAGAGACAGGACAAAAGACACACTATGGGAGAAAGAGCCAGAGTTTAATAATAACTAATGATTAAATACAGTAGTGGACAATAAACATACAGACTATTTGGGATTAAATGAAGGCTTTTCAGGGAGTTTTTAGGACAGCCTGAGAATAATGTATGACAGTCCAGCCTACCTTGGGATGTTCTGCTAGGTCTTGGCTGCAGCCACCTTCAGTTGCCACTTATTTGTGGGTCTCTCTGCCAACAGTTTTGTATATAATACCTGAAAGCATGTTCTGTTGGGTTGACTATTGAATAATACCACATCATTTTCTTTTGAGGAACTCTTTGGCTCATTATTCATTTGCACTGTGAAGCGCTGTCTTCATAAATGTATGAAGTGATTCTCAAAGTTTGGGCTGGGGACCCCTGGTGGACTGCGAAGGTACTGCAGGTGGTCGGCAGCAATAACAAGTTCAGTTTGAAATTAAATCACTACCTACAGCTTCATATTTACAGTATTGGGGAGTAACGGAATACATGTACCGCCGTTACGTATTTAAAATACAAAATATGAGTAACTGTATTCCGTTACAGTTACCGTTTAAAAAGGTGGTATTCAGAATACAGTTACTTTGTTGAAATAAATGGATTACACTGCGGTACTTTCCTGTTTCATTTTGTCGCGGGTCAGGACTGTTTGGGTTTTGTTTGACAGCTACGTTCTGTTGTTCCAGGCGGCAGCGCTACGGTTGCCATGGTTACAGGGCGACGCTCTCTCTCTCTCTCTCTCTGCGACTGTGTGTTTCCTGGGTGAGAGAGCGCCTTTTCGTTGTTGTTGTTGTGCTAAGCTAACAGGCAGAATGCTACAAGCATAGCTCTAAAGAATGTAGCATCATGGCCAGTGTAGTCCGTGTTGCAGGGAGAATGGACTGCCATACACATTATGGGTCTGTGAGCGCGAGGAGGGAGAGAGAAAAAGGGGAGTGGAAAGGTTGGAGTTGTCATCGAGGAAAAACGGGAGCTGGAAGCATGTAAATATAATAATAACCACTTCAGCCAAGAAGAGTGCCTGACGAGCCCAGTTGTAAGTAAGCTATTAAGACTCGACTGTACACCGTGTTCGTGTTTTCCTCCGAAAACAATAAGTTCCGTTGGAGCAGTCTTTCAACGTCTCTCTCTGTCTCTCGCAAGAAAAGTTGACCCACACAACAAAGTAAAGCTATTTTTCGGCTACGAGCCGACAGGGACCCCGCCGTATTAGTCAGAGGTCCCTTTACTACAGTTCGGAGTCGCGGACCTTCAGTAATAGTAATAAATCACACAGCAATAGTACATTCACATTGTTGTAAAAAGCATGATAATCTATTAAGTAATCCAAAGTATTCAGAATACGTTACTGTCATTGAGTAACGTAACGGAATACGTTACAGAATACATTTTGGGGCATGTATTCTGTATTCTGTAATGGAATACATTTTAAAAGTAACCTTCCCAACACTGCATATTTATATTTAGTATGAATTAAAATTGGTAATGGTACATAGTTAGTTTGTGACATTAGTCATTACTCTGACATTTACTGCTCTTGTATTGAAGTTTGTGTCCCAGTGGCAAGTGGGTCACGCACTGGCCTTAACACTTTGCATGTGACTGGGTAGCATTAACAATTTATAACCAACAGTCTGTGTTGGTCATGAATGTTTTTTGATTGCATTTTTCAAGGAAATAAATGACCTTCTCTTATATTTTGATTAGTGTAATGATTTAAGATTGGGTGGAGCCTAATGGGATTTTCTGGATTTTAAGTGATATGTAGCAATCTTGATTTTGAAAATGGTTGAACTTGTTTTAGTGTCACTCTGACAAAAGATTTTTCTAATTTTAGAGATGTTGCACAAATGAATGAAGGCAGTCCTATATATTTGTTTGATGCGCTCACTCTAGAACATGTTGTGGTCAAAAATGAAACCACCTTGTTACTGGAGGCCAAGGTAATGCCATCCAGAGTAGGTATCTGATAACAGACCATATTTCTAAGATTTTTAGGGCCAAGTACTACAACCTCAGTTTTATCTGCATTTAGAAGCAGGAAATCAGAAATCATCCAGACCTTTATGTCTTTAACTAGAATCGTGTCATCTAGCTCTGTTGCTTAAAGCTGAGTGTCATCTGTATATGAATGAAAATATGGACACTTTTGCAGTGTTTTCTAATAATGTTGCCTAGGGGAAGCATGTACAATGTAAAAAGTACTGGTCAATGTTATACATGATTAACTTGTGTGTGAAGACTCCCCATTTACATAACCAAACTGTAGTCTATCAGTGCAGTGTAAAAGCAACAGTGTGTAGTAAAATCTCTCTGTAGTAAAATACTGAGGTCTAATAGGAAAACATAGAAATAAAGTTCCCTGCCAGAGGCCAGAAAATCATTCATAACTTTCACTAGTGCTGTGCTATGATGCACTAAATCTTGGCACAAACTCTAACTCTGCAGCAAGCTCTTTAACAACTACTGTTTCAAGAGGGGTCAACAGATTGATGGTTAAGGGGAAGACATTATTGAAGTAAACTAAGATATATCAGCAGTTGCTGTTCTTAAAAATGCATCTGTGGCATGGCTGTGACTATTTTTGTAATGGTTACATTTTTATTTGTAAATAACTCATGAAGTCATTACTAGTTAAGGTTAAGGGAAATGTTTGAACAGAGCTTGGATTCTGTTCGCCTGAATGCAGTGCTGAAGAGAAACCTAGGGTTGTTCTTATTTGATAAATAGTAAGATGTCCTAGCTTTAGGGAGGACTTTTTTAGAGCAACAAACTATTTGTACAGCCTAAATGAAGACCTTCTAAATTAGATGCATGTTTGAGAGTTATACCAAGGAGTACAAAAGAGTAAAGTACTTCTGGTTCTGATTTGTTGGGATGTTCTGCTAGGTCTTGATGGCAGCCGCCTTCAGTTGCCACTTGTTTGTGGGTCTCCCTGCCTTTGGTTTTGTATATAATACCTGAAAGCATGCTCTGTCGGGTTGGCCATTAAAGAATACCACACTGTTTCCTTTTGACAAACTCTTGCCTTGCTTTTGCAGTATGCTTTGGGTCATTATTCATTTGCACTGAAGTGTTATCTGATCACTTTTTAGTGATTTTGTCACGGACTAATGACGAAACAGGGCCAATCTGGCCACAAAACTGATTGTTAGTCAATCGTCCAGTTAATTCTGAGCCTCTGTATCGGTCAAATATCAAAAAAGGAGCTTTTTGGTACAAACCAAAGGGCAATCTTTAGTTTTTTTAGGCCACTGTTGTGATGTTTCATTTACTCAAGCACAATACACATTTATCAGATATGCAGAATAAATAATGTATATACCTTTTTGTGTCAACTAAGGTAACACAGACTTATTTTTTTGCTGCAAATGAACTGATCATGCTCATGAGCACAGCGACTCTACAAAAGCCATTCTAAACAGGACAAAACTAACAGAAGTGAAGGTGGTATTTTCATTTTCAGGCCAACCATGCTGATTCTGGAAAATAATTTTATTATAGGAACATTTTTCTTTAAGTCAACAATGTTTACTCAAAAAGAAAAAGAAATGAAGTCACACAAATGTGCTAACACCTAATGACTTTTACCAAAACCGCCCTGACCAGAGAGGGTGGGCAAAACTACAGGGCACATTTACACTCTCAAGACCAATACTGTGGAACTGCCAGACCCAGACCACACCCAGTATCACACCAGTTAACCCAATACACAAGTTCTTTGCTGCATGCTGAGCACCTTCAGCATATAAGAACCAAGGTCTGTTTCTTTAAAGTCAAATCTTCCATTGGGAACTTTCAGTGTGTGAGCGATTTCCGTCCTTTCAACATCCGCCGCAGAATCACTTCGATGCCTCCTTGTGAGCTGATCCTTTTGATCCAGCCGTGGGTTCTCTTTCGTTTGATGTTTTTGGGCTGATACTCGGTGCCTCTTTTCCGGGTCCGTACCTGCTGGTACTGCCAGGGAACCTGCTGAAACACTCCTGAACCTTCAGCTTGTGAAGAAATTGTATCTGAAGCTTTGAAAACCTGTGTTCTAGCAGCTGCTCCAGGACCAATCCAGCTGCTGAACGATCTAAGGTAAGAGGTTCCAGTTAGGTCTGCTGTGGGAATGCTGTTGGAAGAACAAAGATTAAAATGTTGTTGAAATATGTTACTCTAATTTCAAAATTATGCCCCAATAATACAGTAACGTCGTGCAAGTTGTAAATCCATTTATCATAATGAAGTTTATGTGTACGGTTTCATTTTTTCACAACAGCATTATATCAGTTGTACTGCTTCAATATTTACAATAAAGGGGCTAATTAAGAATTTGCAAACAAAATTTAGTGCAGGTTGTCTTAAAGAGTGGTGGACCGGGGGCAATTATAACATCTTTTACATTTTCCTTGATAGCTCACAGACTACGTGAAATATACTGGTCATATTTTCATAAAAGAAACACACACACTCGTGTGTGTGTGTGTGTGTGTGTGTGTGTGTGTGTGTGTGTTATTGTAGAGTATACATTCAAGACATCCATTTCTGTTTTTCCAGAAACTTTACAACAGTTCTAGCTTCTACAAAATAGGTTTTAAGTCTTTGTGTTGAGTTATAAGTGCATTTTACTTGAATACGATATTTACCTGGGACAATAAAAAGGTTCCATGTTAAAATCTTGCATTATAGCAAACAACACCTATATTTAGAGTAGGCTGATCAACCATAATGAGCATGATCAAAGAAAGTTGGTCGAATAACAGATCGCTACAACTGGCCCCGGTCTCCTCTACATAACATATGCAAGCAGAATACTGTACGGATAAAATAACTTGTGCAAAAATTAGAGCAGAAAAGTGTTTCAGTCACCCCCCAAAACTGTTTTTCAAAAGTTCTTTATAGCAAACATTATTACTCTGTGTTTTTCCCCATGCCCACACTGCTTATTAGCAATTAAACGTAACATCGCCTATAAATGTAAATCAGTAGTGTTTGGTTTAGCCATTGCTTGACTAAATAGAAGTTCCCATGAGTATCTATCCAGGTTAACTGCAACTAGCCATGCTGCTAACTGATTACCAAGCTAGCTTTTCAATGTTAGCCTCATAAAGAAACACTGTTTGCTTCGGGGTTAACCTCGCGTGCAAATAACTTAAGTCGCTTACCTACGCACGTGAGTTAGACCACGCAGTCGGGAAAATGAGGACAGCATAATGTTCATTTTGAGATATTTAGGAATGTACAGATGACACCGACATGAGAGCAGTGAATGTCACAGGCAGGTCTGCTTCTTCTTCTTTGGTTTTGTTGAAAGACTGCAAAAGTGAATGCTGCCACCTACTGATCCCAGCGTGTAAGATCCACAGAAATGGTTACATTAAAATGAGGTATTTTTGGATATTACTCTGAGTCACGGTACAACTGCTTTTGGTCCCGTTGGACTGACTTTTTTTTTTTTAAGTTTTTACACAACATTTACGTTGGTGTAAGGTATTTAGCATTTGTATATTCTAACTGCTCTAATAGGGTGAATGACCCACCAGACATGTTATGAGTTTTACATTGCTTGTGCCAGGTTGAACCCCCTATCGCCTTAATTCAGCCTTAATTCTTCATGGCATAAATTCAACAAGGTGTTGGAAACATTTTTCTGGTCCATGTTGGCATGCGCATTACACAGTTGCTGCATATCTGTTGTTTTCACATCCATGATCCTAATCTCCTGTTCTACCACATCTCAAAGATGCTCTTTTGGATTGAGATGTGGTGATTATGGAGTACAGTGAACACACTGTCATGTTCAAGAAAGCCATTTGAGATTATTTGACTTTAGGGTGTATTATTCTGCTGGGTGCAGCCTGAAGATGGATACACAGTGGTCATAGCAATGAGATGGGCATAGTGATCAACAACAGTCATCTAGGCTGTGTGCTCAGTTCTTACTAAGCAGCATAAAATGTGCCCAGAAAACACCATCGTACCAACACCAGCCTGAATTGTTGATACCAGGCAGGGTGGATCCATGCTTTGGTCAAGATTTGGTAACATGTGTAAACTATGTCCTCATTTTCCTGTTCTTAGCTGAATCTGCAGTCTTCTGTAGCTTAACTGCTTCAAATCTTGGCATATTGTGCATTCAATAGTGCTCTCCTTCATACCTTGGTTATAAAGAGTAGGGATTTGAGTTACCATTGCCTTCCAATTAGCTCAAAGCAGTTCAGCCATTCTCCCCTGACCTCTCACATCAACAAAGCATTTTCTCTAAGAGAGCTGCCGCTTATTAGATATTTTTTCATTTTCAGGCCATTCTTCCATGTTTTGGAAATCCCAGTAGATCAGCAGTTTCTGAAATACTCTGTCTGACAATAGCAACCATTCTACTTTCAAAGTCACTTAAATGACCTTTCTTCCTCACTCTAACGCTCAGTTTGAGCTTGTGAGCTTTAGATGTGAGAAGATGTTTTTATAATAAAGTTTCTGTATAGTCTATCCTGGCATGCTGACTGAGGACTCCTTGAGCTGGAAGTGTAATTGCTGTTGAGTGCTCTGGTGGCCATCTAGAATGTTATATGTGTAATTCACCTGCATTTTGGAGGGTCTGCTTTTTGCATTGTTGCTATATTTTAATCTAAAACTTTAGTCATTTAACATTAACTTCAGGCTAGCCTTTGATGTAAAAGACCACCCTGTGATAAGACAATACACACAGAAGCAGAGATGTGCAAACACAAATTCTGAAGGTCTCTCTACTGACAGTCGGTTTCAGTACTTTTCCATAACCAAGCTGTTGCTTAAAGTCATCCCTTTGTGCAGTACATTATGATTACAGTGATGATGTTTCGTGAATAATCTGCACACGGTAGGAATCCTGAAAAGAACTGACGCACGTTTTGTTTTTAGGCCGGTATCAGTGATAAAGGCCTAATTTTTTAAAATTGAATTTTAATTGTCCAAAACACAGATACAAACAGATAAACCAATGATTATTTACGCCAAGCAATAAAACAAAGCACCCAGTTGGCTCACGGGCTCTCCGCCCAATAAACGTCACAGATTGCTTTCCAGTGACTGGCACTGGACTGTCACAGCAGCAGGCCTACCAATTTGCTATGTGAGTTCAAGAAGGGGGCACTGCTCGAAATGTGTTAGATTAAAACTGAAAGGTCACGTCTGTCCTTGGTGGTGAGGCAACAATAACTCGTTCTCAGGTGACACTTTATGATCATAGTCCGCAATCAGATGTGGGATTTGAAATAAGACCCCACGCAGAGCCCCGACTGTGGTCACGTGCCAGCCCAATTAATTTAGATAAATTAGCCGGACAGTCATTTTTATCATTTGTCTCCTTTTCAGCGCCCAGGCAGGACCACACAGTCTTTCCCCTTTTTTTTCTTTCTTTTTTTGCTGGCCTGTCAGCCCTAGCAACAAGCAAACAGGCGCCTCTCATTGGCCTCCTCAATATACAACTGCTTTCTATTCGCCCTCCCCACCGCCACTCAGCAGCGAAAATACCCGAAGATTGCTGCTGGTGCTGCGGATTCAAGGGCAGCAGGGCTGGGTAGGGTCTGGCCCGAGTGCGCAGTGGATGCAGAGGAAGCGAGAAAAACACGGGCGTCTGTTTTCGTAATGGGTATATCATTAAACTACCAGTGGCACTCTTTTATGGATGCATGCTTTATCTTCACTCCATGCCCCCCTGCGGTCTGTAATGACGGTCTAATTGGGCCAATAAGGAGCTTTTACTGTTTTGCAGCATCTCTAGCGTAGACAAATTGTTGCGCCAGATGCAACGCCGTTCTCGATACTGTGTGGTCGGCCCTTGACTGTCATCTTTGGGTGCAGGTTTCTCATCACCTTAATCATCAGTACTTCTGCAGGTAATGCAAATCTTTTGGTTTTGGTTTTGTTTTAGCTTTTTTTGTATTGCTCTGTGGCATCTGGATACCTGATGTTTACTGTGCAGCATATCAGCGCCAATAAACGGCTGCACGCATGATGCATGCATGCATTTCGCCTGAGACAGGATTAAAATAATAACAGATTATGAATAATACAAGCAGTATCATTCAAAGCGCACTATTTGTGAAGCCTAAAGCTGTTATATATATAAATATTTATATAAACATTTTTGGTGCGTATATTTGTGAGTATTTGAATCTTATTGCGATGTATAAATTGTTTAAAATAATAATAATAATGTGTTGTTGTAGGAGCCAAGCCGCTAAATGTTTGTGAATCAGGCGTTTTTAACATAACGGTCTCATGTTGAAAATATAGGCCACTCACTTCACGTGCATCTTGACAGACTGCGCCTCACTCTGCTAGACTCTTGTTATGGAAATGCAGCAGCACACAGTGTACCGAATGTGTGTTACTGTAAGAGTTGGCAGGCCTGTCAACCTAAATATTCTGCAATGCAGACACACAAAACAAACAACTTCAACATGGCTGAGTAACCTTCAGCCCTGACTTTGGTCGAGGTTGGATGTCACGGAAACCATTACATTGCTCCCCACAGCCATGTTCCAGACCTGCTGGTGGGATTGGAGAATTGTAGGTCAGGAAGAGAAGCCCAGATTTAAGTGGGAGGACTGTTGGGTTTGTGCTGCTGTAGTTTGTTTTGTGCCGATCTGTTGATTGTCGGTGGCCATGTAGAATATTTTTTATCTATGTGTTTTTGGGTTTTTTGTTTTGTTTTATTTTATTTTTGCAGACTAGCATGGTAATAACCTTGCTCTTTGGGGAGGATTTTGCTTCTTGTGTTGATGTTCTGTTTTAATGTAAGGTGAAAAACTGGCACGTGCACAATATACAAAAATATACCTAAAGGATTTGTTTTTGTCAGATTTCCACAGACATCCACCAACAAATAATCATTCCCACTATTTACATTTTGTTTTTATATTTCTTTAAACCTGTCAAGGTACCAATCATTAAATATACTAAGCACCCAGCATGATTGGAAGACAATAAAGATGTAAACAACATGTACTATTTTGTACTTCTCAGTATACTTTGCCAAAACGCACAATAATATAGGGGAATGCACAAATATCCTACAATAATGCACATAATGCTAAATGGTGATGAGTTGCGAATGCAGCTCAACTCAAATGTTACAAGGGTTTTCAATTTGTGTGTAAAAATAAGGGTTCATTTTGCATCCAGTGAGATCACTTTGCATTCACACAAAAGTGTGCTGAATGATAGTGCAGATAATGCATACATAGTGCATAGACACAACAGCAGTTCCTTAAACAAGGAAACAAACAAGTAAACAATAAAGTCTCACCAGCTACTGAAGATGTGACTCAGCCTTGTGTGTTTCCTAGAGATAACTGTGTTTTGTATCAAAAGTGGGGACACTAACATGTGTGTTTGTGCTGCTGACAGCAGACTGTCAAGCAGTGGCTGGACCTGAACGGAAACATAGAAACCAGCTCTCATCTCCCGCTGGAAAGAACGCAGTTTGGAAAACTGCTATCACGTTGTCGTGAGACACACAGTCCGCAGACATGTGTACAGTCATGCCCTCTGACTGGAGTTCTCTATTTATATATATCCTGATTCTGACCTTGTGAAATGGAGGGGTTATTAATAGCAGACATCTAGCTTGGCCTAGGTTTTTTACATGGTGTGTGGTGCAAATACTGCTTTGCAGTTGTTTGTTGAATGCATCAGAATGTCAAGCCAGGTGAGTCACTGAGGTGAGTGTGTTAGTAGAGACTTCAACAGCTCTGTTGGATATAATATGGCTATTGATTTTGAAATCAGAATCAGAATCAGAATCAGAAAGGGTTTTATTGCCAAATGTTGAGCAGGTTTACAACATTAGGAAATTGCTGCGGTGCTTCAGTGCAAACATACTGTCATAAATTGCACTTAAATAGACATGAAAAAATAAAAGTAAGAATAAGAATTAAAAGTGCTACGTAGAAAGATATATGCATGAGTGCAGGTGGTGATCAGTGCCAAACATGGAATGATGTAGTGAACACAGCGTAGGGTCATGTGTTAGTGGTGGGAACAGTCGTACGTTTATTGTTCATGTGTCCAACAGCAGAGGGGAAGAAACTGTTCTTATGGCGAGAGGTTCTGGTGCGAATGGACTGGAGCGGAAATGTGTTAAAGTACCCTTTATTTTGGCGTACTTTCTTTCTGGCTCTGGACTGATGAAGGATAAAGAAAGCCTTTTCATTGTGTCTCTGTTGCTAGGAAACAGCTTGGGTTCAGTTTTGTAGGAATCAAGCTGGGTCCAATTTCTTGCAGTGCAGCCAATGCCATTGGCAAAGCACTGCAAATGGAACAAGTTAGAATGCTTGAATGTTTGA